TATAATATTATTAATGAAAGCTTATTTTGGGGAATATAATGCTCCCAGAATGACATAAAAAATTGAGAAAATATTACGAGGAACACTAAAATATGTGAAAATATAAATGTGAAGAAAGAGATTATTAGTATTGCATCTTCCCAACGTTTGGTAGAACAATACAATATAGAGTTAAAAAAAAAAGCAGGTTAGAGTGATGAAACAGCCGAATTGACTGTGACACTGACGTTAATTGCACTTCTCACAGATACTCTGAGCTGTACATTCAATGCTGTCAGTAGGAAGAGACTATTCCGTTCTTCTGGATCCTTTTGTTTAAAGCAGTCACGGGGATCTGTCCGGGGCCGGTGCTCTATAACACCGAGGCGGTGAGTCGCATGGCATGAGACATCGACTTACAGTTCCATATTAAAGAATAGGCTTATGGAATTAATGAAATCAAATCACAAATCGGAGCGATTCACTTTTCACTTCAGACGAAGACGCAAAAGTTTACATCTCACTGCGAGTCGCTCATATCAAGTCCGATGCTCACTAAATCGAATTACTTAAGCTTTCCAACGCATTTAACTTGTCTATAAAAAAAGAAATTAATGTCGAAAAAATGTCTTTTCAGAAAGTCTTTAGTTACCATCAAATTTCGGTGCAGCTGACATTAAAATCCCTGCAACAATTCGATACAGTGCGTATATCAAGAGTTCGAGCAGCCAGTAATCACGAACGAAACGGCGTGACGTCAAGGTCCCGGTAGAAAAGGCGCGGTGGGTTTGCTCACGTTTGGAGAGGGAAGAGCGCAGGGAACCTCACTGTCTTCACTGGATTGTACAAACCCAAAGTGTCCTCAACTCCTCCTCTTTCTCAGTTGCTTGCATACTGCATGCGGGACGAACAACAACAGCTAATGCTGTAGATGACAGGACAACCACCTCATTTGTTAGAACAAACCTTTGAGTTGATTTGTACCCAAGCTGAAGCCTACTGAAATTGGACATTTTTGGTGTGCGTGTGATGACAAACTGTCGCGGAGGAGGTGAAGAGACGTGGATGAAGATATAACCACTTGCAGAATCTGAATCGTCATTGTAGTCGTTCCTCCCAGGCATTTCGGGATTATATATTTTTTATTCTTCGGCGATGCAATAACGGATTTGTGTGTGTGTGTGTGTGTGTGTGTGTGTGTGAGTGAGTAATGACCGGCGGCAGTCATGCTCCAAAACTGATTTCTGAAAAGACAAGAAAGAAAAACTGAACTCTTACACTGACAAATGCATGTCCAAAATGTGGTAACTGAAAGTTACTCACGAAGAAATAGGAGGGTCCAGTGTCACACATGTAGAGGGGCTTCAGTAGCTGGTATGTCCTCAAAGCTCCGGAATGCTCTCATAGGCTAAAACCGATCTGGCTGCATGTTTTGCAATCTCACACTTCGATGCATTTAAAAGAATCCATCAGAATACGGAGTTGACAGTTCTGATAAACGAACACCGTTTAGACCGATCAGATCCTCCAAACGGGAATTATTTGATGAGAGCGAGAGAGGCCATATGAACTGCACAGGGCTAGAAGTGCGTCTCACGGAAATCTTGGGTTGCAGATCTGACGGAAACACGTGCTATTCGGTCTCATCTGCGGCAACGATGCTTTTCCACGGTCTGCCTGGAGGCGAGATGCATGGTGTTATGGAAGAAATGGAGCGGAGAGGAAAGAGCGATTCGGCGACTATCAGCTCGGCCATAGATATGGGGGAAACAGAGACGGTAGGAGAAAGCCATGCCTCTCGCTCCAGGCGCTTGCTTGGAAATCCTAACAGCCTATGCTAACTGAACCGTTATTCCAACAGTGCAATAGAGGCCCAAAGATGTGATTCCGATCTTGTCCATTTAAACAAACTTCAAACTTCAGCAAAGCCACAATTACAGGCCTCGTCTTCAATGCATTACGTGTAAACCTTTTGTCACGGGTGGAATGCAAATAGTTACAGAAAGCTACGAGAAACGGTATCAATTTTAAATGGCCTGTAGTCCAATTTAATTTCTACTGTAAAAGTGTGGTTGTTCGATACAGTGGTGAAATAATAAGCAATTAGCGAGCAAAAAAAAATAAATCCTGTTTCGGGTTTGTGCATATACTGATATACTTCAAATAAATTCTCATTGTTTTACAAACGCTTATGCAGTGCTGCTAAACTTTAAGTGACGCAAAAATAATATTTTCTTTTTCCATAATATACGAGTGATATAATTACGATTAAAAACATTAGCAGATGTTGTGATCCAACTAAAATGTATTGGCATTGTTTTGGCACATAATATCTGTGATTAACAACAGCAAAAAAACAAAAAAAGACAATGCAGAACCTTACGTTAAATCCATTACCATTACAATATTTTTTTTAGCAATAGTGCACGCTTAAAACAAATGTTTTGACATTTTTTAACACTGCATCTCAAAACTTACACGATGACAAATCCAAAATTACAAATAAAGAAATGCTAAAGAATAAAACAATATTTTATTCTTACACAACTGTGTGTGTGTGTGTGTGTAGAAGCCTACATATATTACGAGTGTGTTTGCTGTGTGTATCTAAGGCCACACAACACGCCGAACGTAAACACAATAAAACAAGCTCAGCCTTTGATTAATTTGCTTATATATGTATCACAACTGTTCCTTTGTTAAAGAAAAAACGACGTGAATGGAGGCATGCATAATATAATTTTTCTTGTGGTTATTTTCTTATTATTCGTGGCATTCCGGGAAATATTAAATACAAATCAGAGTACACTCACTCACTGAATACACTTCTATATTTATCTTCTCAATCTCACGCCCCTCCCATTCTCTACAGAAGCGAACACTAGTAATGTCTGATTTTTTTGGACATTTTTCATCAGCAAATGCGTAAAATAGTGTTTTCACTAATTACTGAAGCCAGGCACTTTAAACACGCGCTGTGTATTCTATGGGTTACTAATCTGCCATTAGAAATATTCATTTGTATAACACTGCAGATAATGGTGTAGATATAGAGTATTTGAATGAAACTGGGCTTATAGTTCCTGCCTTTAATGAGCGCGCTGTTCGCCTGTGTTTGTGCAGAGCATGCCTTCGATCAGCGGGGAGCGGCTGGCTCTGTGCGCGGGCTGCGGAGGGAAGATCTCTGACCGCTATTACCTGCTCGCCGTGGACAAGCAGTGGCACATGCGCTGTCTGAAGTGCTGCGAGTGTAAACTCAACCTGGAGTCTGAACTCACCTGCTTCAGCAAAGACGGAAGCATCTACTGCAAAGAAGACTATTACAGGTGAGCAAACTCCTTTACTCAAAAGTTGCACGATCTTACGGCGTTTCCTTCGCCTGGAGTGACATTTTCGTTTGTGGATAAATAATAAAAATGCAAACCTGTCGCCAAAGCTTTTTGCTTTTTGTCTGTAGATTGTATTTTGATGTGGTTTCGTCCTTATACACTTACAATAATGCAGAAACGACATAACTAATTTTCATTGCTTGTATAAAATTAAAAATAGCCAAAATGTGTTGTTTTTTCTGTTGATGTCTGTGAAAAAGTAGTTGTACATTTTAATAATCAGACTAATAATAGCCTACTTTAATTAATACAGAAACTACTAATATGATTCAAGGAATAATTGTTTTGCCTAAAATTGAACGTTTTTGTTTAAATTAACTAAACATTCTATAGAATTTTTTTTTTCCTGTCTAGGTATTGTGAAGACATCAGGATGCAATTTAATAACAATTACAATAACCCAGAAACTCCTTAACCTGCTCAACGATTTTACTCTATTCTCGTAACAGTTAAAGAAACAAATCATGTAGCAACATGCCTCGAATTAATTTACTATGCTTTTTGCTCTAAAAAAGATGTTATGCATTCGTCCAAACAAAGAATATTAGCCTATTGGGTAAAAACAACAACTTTTTAATCAAATAAGATGATATAATCTACGAACTTCACGAATATTCTTCATTTTCTTTGGTGCCTGGATTTAATTTCAGATAAACTGAGCGAAAGCGAAATGAATAAATAAAATGTTTTTCTAAAAAAAAGACTATAACTATAAAATGCAAGTTTATCACGAGTTTTTATTATATCTCCAAGCTATGTTTCCACTGTAAAATGTGTTCAAACTCAGAATGTTTGGTTGCTTTGTAAATCTTGTTGTCTTGGGATCGTTAATTGAAGTTGGCAAATTTATCACAACAATTGCGGTCTTGTTTGGTGGACTAACCGGCTTCTGAAGAACTGTTAAATTTACATGGACTTAAAATGGAAAATAGAAACGTTTTGAAATCAGATCAACCGTTTGACAAAAACACGAGTTAAATATAGAGAGAGTGAACTTTGGTCAGACACAGTCAGATCATTGCTGCCCCCATCAGCTCACACTTTAAACAACAGCACGAACACAACAGCAAGATCAAAACCTGAAAAACAAGAACAATAAAGACAGTTCATCATTGCAATACTACAGTAACCATGTGCACATAAATAATTCTGTGTTCAGTGAAGATAACTGCTCTTGACGTGCATCACTGTAAAGGTAGCAGTATTTCTCAATGGCCATATTTATATCAGGAGGAAACATTTGTTCACCATGTGCAGCGTTGTAAAGCATTCAAGGTTAATTATCTGAAGTGTTGATCAGACCATTTTCAATGACTAATATTTGTAGTTGTCAGAGAAAACATAATTCTGAACTGTCATGCGTCTAGCAACACATAAACTTCTGCCAAGAATTTGGAACTGGCGCAAACACATTTCTGACACATTCAGACAGGCCTATCTCCTAAACACTTGTGTTCAAGACAGATAGTGTGGGCTTTTCACAACCAAATCCTACACAAGACACCATACAAACAGAAACGAAGATATGGCCATATGTGGGGGGTGGGGGTTGCTGTAAAAACGGGCAAAACCACTCAGATTTGAAAAATGAAATAAAAGTCATGATGCAGACTTGCATGCTTTCAAAACACGTCTATTGCATTTAGAATCAAATTGTTGTTGTTTTTTAAAAGACCAAAACAGCATGATGTAAGACTACAGCATAATGCAGATTATTATGCATGCAGTAAGTTGCAAACACAGCAACATGATGGTGCTGTGGCTCCTTTGTGTAGTCAAATCCAAGACTAAACACAATGTTGGAGTGCAATCAAAGAAACGAAAGAATCTGAGAGGCACGTCCTCATTCTCATCACAGCATCTGATCGTTCTGTCATTGCATCTCATGTATTTATTGTCAAGTTTCAGCTTTCTGCATTTATTCAAACTAGAACTGCAGTGCTACACTATACAAGTTTAGCATTATGGAAAACGTCATTTGCATGTGTAGTTTTAAGCTTTTGAAATGTATGCACTCATTTTGGGATCAATAGCAGCAACACAGCTAATACATTTTGCGTTTTTGGATTCAGCATTGAGCTGCAACGAAAATGACGGCGATCCAATGGACAGAGACTCGCAGTACAGCACCAGCCAGAAGACCAAGCGCATGAGAACGTCATTTAAACACCATCAGCTGAGGACCATGAAGTCATATTTTGCCATCAACCACAATCCTGACGCCAAGGACCTGAAACAGCTGGCCCAGAAAACAGGCCTCACCAAGCGTGTTCTACAGGTCAGAAAACTCGCTTCATTTAGACTAATCGTTTTCGCTCTATGCAAGTCATTTTAGCTTTGAGATTTTAGCATACTGACCATGAAAGCCTTTAGTTTTTTTATATTAGTCAAATTTGTTTGTATAGCACCTTTCACAATACACATTGTTTCAGAGCAGCTTTACAGAAAATCATGATGATGACGTTTATAATATCTTCATGCATTACAGTTGCATTTAGCAGATTAGAGCTGGACAATAATAGAGTTACATTTTGCGACAATACAAGCAATCAAGCAGATACGATTTGCTATATAGTGTATATAATGCATGTATGCAGATAAATAGGGCATATTTGTATATTTAACAGAACTAAGTGACATTATAGTTACATTTTGAGACAATAATATTCAAGCAGTTGGGATTTGCTAAATTGTATATATCGCTTTAGGTGAGTGTACTGTATGTATGCAAATAAAGTTGTACTTAATATAATATGTGACCCTCGACCACAAAACCAGTCATAAGGGTCAATTTTTATATGATTTTTTTACTGAATAAATTAGCTTTCTATTGATGTATGGTTTGTTAGGATAGGCAGAGATACAACTATTTGAAAATCTGGAGTCTGAGGGTGCAAAAAAATAAAAATATTGAGAAAATCACCTTTAAAGTTGTCCAAATGAAGTTCTTAGCAATGCATATTACTAATCAAAAATTAAATTTTGATGTATTTACAGTAGGAAATGTACAAAATATCTTTATGGAACATGATCTTTACTTAATATCCTAATGATTTTTGGCATAAAAGAAAAATCGATCATTTTGACCCATACAATGTATTTTTGGCTATTGCTACAAATATACCCCAGCCACTTAAGACTGCTTTTGTGCTCCAGGGTCACATATAACCCAATATATACGTATTAAGTAAAACAATGTCAAAAACAGCACATTCCTTCACATCAGCAACAAATTAGACTGATTAAAAAATGACTTGAGGAATGAATCAAATGTAATTCACAAGCCTGGTCTCCTCAATGGAATGCTATTAATTAGTTCCTGAAAGAGAGAAATCTGAATTAATTACACGCACAAATAAAACACAAGGTGTTAGAGTATGTCTGGAAATAAAAGAAACAGCTGTTTGTCAGATATCACTGAAACCAGAAAAATAAAAAACGAAACGCAGTTGCTGTGGCAAAACATCCAGGGGACAAATGGAAAGTAAAAATCTGAGATATTCAAGTAAAAATAAAATCTCAAAGCGCTAATTATCATTGGCCGTCACTCGGCTTTGATGAGACGAACGTTCTTCCTCTGAGCATCGCATGGTTTTTTCGTCTGTGGTTTATTTCTAACGTCTGGCGTCTCGGTTCGCAGGTCTGGTTTCAAAACGCTCGGGCCAAGTTCAGACGAAACCTCCTGCGCCAGGATAACACGGGTGTGGACAAGGCCTTGGATGGGTCGACCCTGCCTGGAGGAACGCCATCCGGACCGGCCTCAGAGATTTCCAACGCCTCCATGAGCCCATCCAGCACTCCCACGACCCTCACAGACCTGACCAACCCCACAATGCCCACCGTCACCTCCGTACTGACCTCCGTCCCGGGCAGCCTGGACGTTCACGAATGCCGGAGTCCATCGCAGAGCACCTTAACCAGCCTCTTCTGATGCTCAGATTGCTCAGCACCTTCATCTGCTTCCTCCATTTGTGGAGCCACCTAAATCAGAAATCAAACATGAGTATGAGCAACCATGCTAGTCGTTCACAAACTACATCTGTCTGAAACATAAACCGATCTACCTGGGCATTTTTGTACAGGCCAGGAACTTTACAAACGTGGCCGATCCAATTCAAGAGACTAAAAAACGAGACGTGAAAAAGAACTCTTCGTTTAGAGTATTGCATTTTGGGGCAGACTCAAGTTTCACTGAAGGATCTGTTGATAAGAGAGTAATTTGCATTTTATTTTCTGTTTTGTTTTTTTCATGTTTTCCCCCAACCATGCTTACAGAGAGAGAGACTGAGCTGGGAAATGCATTTGTTCGTCAACCTCTTATTTATGTTCACGCACAGGAGTCAGTGTGAGGAAACTGGATTATAATGTGAATAATTACAGCGTAATCTAGCCTGACTGTCACGTGCCTTATCCTGCAGTGTAGTCACTGAAGCCCCTTTAGCAACGCTAAACGAACTACATCAGAAAATGTGTACTTTCATTTGTTGGATGATGAAAATGGTTAAGTAAATCACATGTGCACGAAAACACACACACGATGAAGAGCTGATCATATACTCTCATTCCAACATATTACCTCACTCAGAAATCACTGGATATGATAGCAGTACATATGAAACCTGAGAACACGTTTCATGCACTGGGAGAGAAAACGGCTGTGGAGAGTTTGTACAAAGAAAAACCTTGATCGGAGGAGTGCATCACAAACAAACACTGATTTATGGAATGAAACATTTTTTTTTGTTCCTCATTCGGTTAGGTGATTTTTTTCTTCTCAACCATTAAGATGTGACAGTGTTGGAGACAGGGTAAATGTTTCCATGGTAACCAGAGGCTGCTTGTTGAAATGCTGTACAGTTTTGACAGATTATTGAGAAATTTCGAGTCCACTCCCTGCAGTATCCCCTTTGATGTAAATCTTCAGTTCTGTAAAAAATATAAAAAAATGAATCACTATTTTTTTTTTGTGGGCCTCATTATTTCACCAGTTTCAAAGCATTTTACATAACAGCAATGCAAACAGCGTTAACACAAATCTAGAGCTTAAAGACAAAAACACATTCTAACTGGACATTAATACATTAAGATGATGCTAGTTGTCATGGTAATTTATAACTGAGAATCCCAAAACCAAATGCAGTTTGGTGTGATTTGTTAATACACATCTTGTCACACACACTACATGGTTGCATTTAAATTAAATAAAGAAATAAATCCAGGTTGTTGTCATTATGTAAATTAGATACTGTTTATAAAATATGTAAAATAATTAAATAACATAAAATTATAATACTACACACACACACACACACACATTAATGTTAAGTGATATTACAAACATAATATATCTGTGCTATCCACATAATGAATTTCTCATAATCAAAACTGAATCATATTTATTTTAAGAGATTATAATGCATTTTACAATGCATGTTTTATAAAAAACATGTTCAAATGTGAAACACCATTGTCTTTCAGACTATATTTTGCAGTGTTCAATTAAATTATTTCTAACGGTTTCAAAATAAAATAAGATACAAAATAAAAAACCCTCTCAGATTAAGGCAAATTAATCCTCAAAAAAATAAAAGAAATAACTAACACAACCAACCGAAACCACATTTCTTTCTAAGCTATGGTTTTGGCAGCTTTATGATCAGAGAGAAACCACGCTGAAACCAAGTTCCTCTGGGTCCTGTAATCAGAACCGTATTTGGCTTAATTACAGGAAAAAACTGAGATAATAGGAAAATAGCTTTGATTAATTATTATAGAGCAACCTTAACAATCTTCTACACATTAAAACTGAGAAAATAGAAATAACACATTTAATGAATTTCTATGTATTAAATGACAGGAACTGCACAGAAATGCTAATGCTTTTATATGTTCTGTTCTTGGGTTGTTGGTTTTGTTTTGTCAGTGTCCTTGTACACCGTTTGTGTGTTATTTCTTAGCCGAAAACCTCTAGTGACTATTAGAGTACAAAACCTGCACTGGAATTTATTATGATAATTATTTTTAAACGGTTGAACGGTGGAGCATTTGGAATGCAAGTTTATTACAGCCCATGTGAAATATATGGTCACCCAGTCATCGTACATGCGTGTTTTGCCAGTGGCACAAAAAAATGGGGTATGCAGTATATGCTGTGCATAGGGGCGCCGAACAGAGGGGGTGGGGGCGCCATTTTGCCGAAATCATTCTGTGATAAAACGTTGTAAATAATAAAAAGCTTATAATGTAATGAAACATTTTTATTTAACGTTTTTTAGCATTTTTAATGAGTTCGAAATGTATAATAAACTGAGTAGGCCTACATATCAACCGCTCACCCTTCGACACATTACTGGTGCAGAAACGCTCTGGGGCGCAGAACAGAAAACACAAAGGGGAAAAAGAACAATTCATTAAAATAAGGACAGCAATATCCAAGTGAACTAACAGAAATTGGTAAGCTTACTCTATAATGTCATTCAACATTTAACATTGTTGCCTAAGAGAGCAAAGTGATTAAAGTTAATATAAGTTCATTTCTGAGTATCTCTCAAAAAATAAAAAAGTCACGATGTTTGTGAATTGGCATTTGATTTAAATTTGAAAGGAACTGAGAAGATTATTAACAAGGATATAAAAAATGGCCATTTTGAATTCAAAATAGGCCATTTGTGTGATTCAAGTAGATCCGATGAGTTTTTTGAAAACTCTTGCTACTTCATACTTAGTATAAAACAATGCTGAACTTTGACATGAAGTGATTTTTAAATGTTATAATAGTGATTTTATAATGTCTAAATATAAATCCAAAATCAAAACATGTGAAAAGAGCTATATTACGGAGTGGAAATTGTGATCATAGTGGGAATATCATGACATTCATTTCAATAGTGTTTGTATTTCTACCAGGTGGCAGAAATCTTCCACTTAAGCATGGCACATTTTCCATTAATTATCTCTAAAAGTAAAAAAAAAAAAAGCCATCAGGAGTTAAAAAGGTTGTCAACACACTTTTGATTTTTCTTTATCCTTTATCCTTCCATGCCCAAGCTAGTTAATGGTCTTTTGGTCATTGACTTGCAGAAAGTTTTCTGCTGGAGTTAGGGTTAGGGTCTAGAATACAGGGGGGCGCCAACACTGATCTTGCATACCCCTCAGCAAATGTGAAGTTGAGCCCGTGTTTGACCCTCACAGACATCCACTGAACTGAAGCAGAAACTCCCATTTCACACACATCAACACGTCCGTCTTGACACGCGATGCTTCCCAGTGTGAACTAGGCCTTGGCCTTTGGTCTAGATGAACATTAGGTCAGTGACTCTCGGCTTCTCGGGTTTCTCTCGCCATTGTTTGTTGAAGTGAGTGGTGTGGAGGGGTCTGGCGCGCAGCCCACCGCTCAGGCTCCTGGAGGCCTGGTAGACTGGGGTTGTAATGGCCTTACGATGGATGCCAAAGCCAGCCAGCCACCGTGGAAGCCAATGTGGTGCCCAGATGTACAGCGCATTCCCACAAAAAGCCACACGACGAAGGCTTTAATGGAGAGAGAGCCTGCTATTTAAAACTCACTACAGCTTTTTGGAAATAGTTGGTCCAATAAAGTTTAATATGGAATATTATTACCTAATTTCTGACTGTGCAGAATCTGAGGATCATCGCATCGGTTTGGATGTTTGTGACGCGTGCTATGTAGCAAAGTCCATGCAAAGTGTCTGTGGTTTTTGCATATCTTTTCCAAGGGCTGTTTGCTTTGTCAATCTGGGGTGTGTTTCCAAAAAGCATCTACGGTCTCAACTTCTGTCATTACCAATAGAGTTCAATAGAACGTGTGACCATAGTTAGCTACGCCTGATCAGGCCAATTTAAACATTTGACTCGCATACAATAAGAAATGCTTTCTAAATTAGAGATCAGAGGTTAAGCTTCAGATAAGTGTCCACTACATGCATAAATGTATATATGTAGCACAAGAGTGCACTAGGCCAATCGCTGATTGTGCGTACTTGGGAAATCTTACAAAAAAATGACCAGAAATAAATTTATAACTTATTATAATTGGGAAGTTGCCTGATAAACATTTTTCAAATAAAGTAAAAAAATGCCATAAAAAAATAGTATTTTAATATATATCATGATATTAAATGATTTCCATTCCTGTATCATACAAGATACTTCAACATTGAAAAAAATTATATCCTAACTCAGTATTTTTGTCTTGTTTTCCAGTACAAATATCTAAACTTTCCTTAAGATAATTACTTAAGATATTAAAAATAAAAAAGGGTAAGAAAAATAATCTTACATTCCCTTCGAATTAAGCATGTGTATATATATATATA